GCAGTTCTGTCCCATCGACACAAAGTAATCATAACACCAATCGTACCAACGTAGCTAAATCACAGACATCTCCCAGAAACCAATCTGTGACTGAAAGTGGGGGCGTCTCTTCATCAAACACAGTTCAAAGAACTGATGATAATCGCCCTAACAATAGAGAGGAAAGTAGAGATAATGTGATTCAAAGGAGTGAAATACCTTCGTTCATTAAGAAAAGGAATCTTCTTTATAAATTGTCTAATAAAGATGGTCAGATTCTGTTTACTCCAATGGAATCAACTGAACCGAAGAACAAGTGGAAGGTTGTCTATATGAGGGTGAGAAAAGGGGAGAGACAATTCACAGTTCCTGTGATCCAGGAGCCCTCTGAAACAGAGACGGGGTCTGATGAGACACTGGGTACATCTGCCGAGACACTGGGTACATCTGCTGAGACACTGGGTACATCTGCTGAGACACTGGGTACATCTGCTGAGAAGGTGAAGCCACCTCAGAAACTGTACCCGATGAGAAAGCAATCAAAGAGACAGTTCCAGAAGAAGATGGTAACAAACCTCGGAAATGTTCCTGAGGAGTGGGACTCAGGTGTTGCCCCCAAGCCAAGGAACTCTCCACGAAACGCAAAACCAGTGTCAATTCCAATCCGAGACGACACGGATCGTTACAAGGCCACTAAAATTGACATTAATTACCTTGCGACTATCTTTGAAAACGAAAATGGCCTGGGTAAAAGGTTGTCTTCATCTGGTGAAACTGCAAGTTCCGACAAGGGTGTGACATTGCGGGTTCCACGAGGTCAGGAGGTGGTGTACAGGCAGACAGACAGAGAGGGCAATATTGTATTGATACCTGTTGTGAAGACTCCAGCACACAAGATAGTCCTTGTGAAGGTGAAGCGGAAAGATCAGACATTTGTATTGCCAGTTATTGTTGACAAAACATAATAACCATCAGAGCATCACTGCCATGTCTAAAAATGTGAATTGACGTCTATCAAGGGAGCCCAACGCACCGATAGCCGCAGACAAAACTCTGAGTTTGAACTCAAGGTTTCAAAATTTCAAAAAAATGAACAAAAGCATTATTATGCTACAAGAACAATGACAGCGTTTAGAATATGTATGATCACAGAACAAGCACTCGCTAACATACGGGCTGGTTGGGTTCTTAAAAATTGTAACGATACTGAATATCTGAAAACTTCAATGGGCTCCGTTGATATGATCTAAAATATGGCAGGTCCACAAATACGAAGGGAAGAACTTTGACAGGATTAACTGAATTGATTGGAAGATGAGCAATGTGACACATAAACATCATGTGGACATTAAAGAGTATTTCTCTGTAACTAAATAGTTTCATATGATGTTAAGTGGCTACCGATATGTACTGTTGATGTTTACTATTAATACCCTGCAAATGATTCCACCTACAATGTAGCTGTCACTGTATAATAGACTGGTAATGCAGTGGTTTGATCGACTTCTGTTCGGAATGTAACATTAATAAATGAGTTAATGACATGACTGATCTTAGGCGATACAACTGAAATGAGCGTTGAGTGGCCTCCAGTGGCCGAACCAGGATCTGCTGATCTAGTGCTAAAAGATTCCAGTGACTTGGATCAGTTTCTGCATGCACCATATACTGTGTTCGAGGTTTTCACCGAGTGGGTTAACACGTAGCCTTCGTTACACGGAGCTTCCTTCAACGTGAAACTGACGTCCCATGACGTTACTGAAATTCTGTTCAAAGAAGAGATAACTCGCTCCTCCACACACCTCTCATTGCGAACCACCACCACCCATACTGGTCATGTGATCCTAGATAGCATGCTACGATATTGGGTCAAAGAAACAGATAAGATGACGTATTGTATCTCGAATCCCTGCGTTTTAAACGTGTACACGCACCAGGGCTACCTACAAGGCACACGTGTACATTGTTTGTGACGTATGGCCGTTTGTCAGTCGCGTATGTACAGTGTTTGACAATCACGTATGTACAATGTTTGACAATCACGTATGTACAATGTTTGACAATCACGTATGTACAGTGTTTGACAATCACGTATGTACAATGTTTGACAATCACGTATGTACAATGTTTGACAATCACGTATGTACAGTGTTTGACAATCACGTATGTACAGTGTTTGACAATCACGTATGTACAATGTTTGACAATCACGTATGTACAATGTTTGACAATCACGTATGTACAGTGTTTGACAATCACGTATGTACAATGTTTGACAATCACGTATGTACAATGTTTGACAATCACGTATGTACAGTGTTTGACAATCACGTATGTACAGTGTTTGACAATCACGTATGTACAATGTTTGACAATCACGTATGTACAATGTTTGACAACCATACGTATTCGATGTTTGACATTAACTCGTGTCCAATATCTGATATATATACTTAACAAACTTAGGGGAACTTCATTTTTAACTTACGACTGAAAAAAAGGGAGATATATCGGAGTCGATCAATGTTGATCTGATACTGATGAATATTTTGAGAGTCCCTCGCCACTTGCACTTCCTTATGACCATAGTTGTTTGTACAGTAATCGCTCCTGAAATATGATTGGTGTATGACGTCTGTCTGTCTGTAAAATGTTTGTTAACTCTTATACTTCCTATCCAAATTGAAAGTTCGGGTTCCCCTTCTTTTTTAAAGAGTATACATGCATGTCTGTACACAGTATTCTACAGACGTAAAGAACATAACACTCTTGGATGCACTCAAGCACAGTAATTAGGTTCTTTAATTACACAAAGTGAGGTAGGTCAATTGCCGTCCCTGTCGCTGTAGTGTGCATGGTACAACAGTCCTGGGACATATAATGTTTACGGTCACACAACGCAGCTTTGCTTGTACAATAGGACTTGGGGGCCATTTTGACTTATGTATTTCTTTTATTTGAAAGGTCACGACCACAAAACGAAACAAACTATGCTAATCCCTATTGGTACTTTTTTAGGAATGTAACACCTTGTGGCAATGCATGGTTGTTTTATTTTTTGTATAATTTTGTCTTGACTTTTATTATTTCACGGAATTGTGTGTGTGTAAGGACAGTTACAATGAAGCACCTGCCATTAGTGCCAGGTGTGCGAGAAAGGATGGAGACGGCACAGCACAGGTTAATGAATCTAACACCTGGCTGTCCCTTTCTCTGCACTCCTCCCTCGTAACAAATAGTGAACTGTGTCAAAATTTAAATGATAGTTTGTTAAACAACTTTTTTTAATTTTAGGACATAAATTCTGCAAAGAAATCACAGAGTTGGTCTGATGTTTTGATTATGATCAGCGTTTCATTGTGTATTATATGTTTATTAGTTTTCGAGTTAGATTGCAATTCATCGGTCCGCTTTTGAGCCAAACGGACTATAATGAGTGATTCAGTGAGTTTGGAAGCAGGGTGATGGTAACGGGGTAGGTAACATGGTTCGGCGCCTGTGTTGCCTTGTTCATCGCCAACATCACCAAATAACGCCATTTTCCACTCAGGTTGGTTGTTTAACGTCGCAATCAACAATATTTCAGCTTTTGTCGAGTCTGGACCAGAAAATCCAGTGACAAACAGCACGAGTATCGATCTACGCAAAGTTGATAAGACGACATGTGTCAACCAAGTTAGCGAGACTGTCCACCCGATTCCGTTAGTCGCCTCTTAAGACAAGCATGGGCTGCTGAAGACCAATTCTAACCCGAATCTTCACGGATTTTCCCACTCATGACAATCAAGAGTAACATCGTACGTTATTTGAGAAAGCTGAACGCATGGTACTTTGTAAAAGACTCTTGTTCGAGTCATTAACATAGATCTTTTACTCCGAGTGGTCAGGTGAACTTTCTTATCATCATCGAGGCTTACATATTCTCCCTACGATGAACATGAGTGAGTGAATAAGTACGGTTTTAAGGTTTCACGCCGCTTCCAGCAATATCACGGCGGGGGACACAAGAAATGGGCTTCACACATTGTACCCAAATGCATGTGGGGAATTGAACCCGGATCTTCGGCGTGACAAGCCAACGCTTTAACCACAACTAGGCTAGCACACACACACACACGCACGCACGCACGCACGCACGCACACGTGTACTATGATCGAAATTCCGGAATCTATTCCAAGTTAAGAAACAAATTAAAGCCGACTCATTTCGACAGCTGACATCAGTTCTGCACGTGAAACACGCATCATCCATTTTAATTGGTCAGTGTTAGCTTATATGAAGGTGTCGCAAGTGTACACACTGTATGTAACGTCTCGTTTCGAAGTATAATGTCTGATTATATTACATAGGGGTACAAAGTGTAAAGTGTACTTGGTGAAGGGTACAGTGTACAGGATTCCATTGCAATATATATATATATATATACTTTTACAAATGTTACATTTCAACATTCTCACCAAAAAGTATTTCTTTAATTAGGTTGTCTTATATTAATAATTCGTAAAATAATGAAATATAATGAAATCATCTGCACACATAAAAGCATGAATAGCCAGTAGCTGAGTGAGTGGTCAGGCTATGGGATGACTGAATGCTGTGATGTCAGTCACTGGATTGTCTGGACCCAACTCCATTATTGATCGTTTTTACAGACCGCTGGAAAGCCGTTATAGAGCTGGAAACCTGCTCAGTGTGGCGTTAAGATTAATGTACTGTCAACATATAACCATGTACATGAACGTTGATATGGCGCCTTGGAAGCCTCAGCGTAACTCACCCAGCTTTGACTGGAAATAAATTAAACAGACAACACAGTGGACGTGAAAGTTTCAGAACAGATAATACCTTTGGGGGACACCTAAAATGACAAATCCTTATATTATTTATATTAATTACTGATTGGTTTTAGTATCCGATGAAACCTTTTTGATAAGTTATTGAATTCCCATTGTATTGAAGCATGAAATAGACTATATTATGCCAGACGCAGTCAAACAAGGGAGACAATCCGCGGGAAAAGTCAATAGACAAAATGGCCGAAGAGAGAGTCGCGTTTATAGAAGAAGATCTACCTGTGGCTGCTTTTCCGAAGATAGCGGACATCAGACGACAGGGGAAATTATGCGACGTCACGCTGAAGGTAGACAGTATGGTGGTCAGACATTGCTAAACATCACAAGAGAATTGAATCAATGCCGGATGCTATTTGTTGTGTCAAGATCGACTGACCCAGTTTGACTGACTGCAGTGCAGTCACTCGTTCGTTTATTTCAGCATTCTGTTACCTCTGTGTATAAATGCATGGCATATATATTTGTTGTAATCAGTTAGGGTACCTGAGACTTATCCTGTGGATTTTGAGGTATATATTACCTTGACAACTGGCATATGCACATCTGTTACCTGATGTAGACCCTGTCACTTGTGACATATACACGTTTACATGACAACACAACTTTGCAATTTTACGAACCTTTCACTTGTCCGTGAAACACCACCTCCTATTCCTGATGTTGACTTGGGAGGTAGGTTATGTCATACCTATCTCCATTTAATGCATACATATACCAATGTAATTTGAGGAAAATCTGTAAATGTTTATCAAGTTTAAAGTTTGTCTGAGAAATAGGTAACTGGGAATCCACAGAAAGGTAGAAAATCAGGTACCATGCCGTCATATGATTCTGTGGTACTTACGTTTCCGTGGTATTTTCTAATAACATAATTTCTCACAAGCCACTCACCAAATTGCGCCACCTATCGATTGTTTACGTTCATCAGTCGATTGGCACGGCTCTGAGCAAAAAATGTTCAGACTTTCATCAATTTGCGTTCGTACAGTCATCTACTATTAAAAACTAATGCAACTTTATGTCTAGCACGTAATGCACTTTTTGTGCGATCTTTACAAACATTTTCTATAAACTTATTCAGCTTCAAAGTTTTCCAAACAACGCTCGTCTGCAAGCTGATGTCATCAATAAAAACAATCACGTGACCTAAGGGGGGAATCCCAGCTCTATTTTTTAAACTATGGAAGCCCGATAGGGTCATCTCTTAAGTTGTTTTTTCACTTTTCATTTCACGTATCCCGTTGATCAACTCTACATATTTTATGAACTGGAAATTTATGCTGAAGAATTGTGACTATTGTGTTAATTCTACAAAATCGTTTACTGTATTACAATTTATTAACTTCGTTATTACTGTAATCCTACATTGACACTCACGGATTGGCTGTTGACAACGTGTGAGATTGTGACATGTGCTGTGGGCCCGTAATTTGATCTGTAGGAAATACCGCAGAATCATATGACGTCACCAGATTTTGTGCACAATTGCCGCCTGTCGTCCGATACGGACAACAATGAACTTCAGAATGATAAAAGTGTTTTATTGCCATTAAATGATACAAAGGTATGTCGTCTAACACTATGTAGTATGTTGTGTTTATATGACTTGGCAATATGAGCGATTGATTCATAGTCGTAAATGTCTTAATACCACGGAAACCCATGACGCAAGGGTATTAATCACTTGGTTCCCTGGTAAAGAGTTGGCTAGTTAGATTATCTTATCATCATGATTTCCATAGCTTCAAGCAGGCAGTAGTAGTTTGCCCCTCCAAGTTGCAATGAATGAAATCTGAAAGAAATGCAATATAAACATGGTGAAGTCTACTGTGAAGTCAAATCAACTTTCAGAAACAGCAGCATACCATGCAGGTTCATGTGAGCTTGGTTGTAAAAGTGCATTGAGTAGGTAGTGGCATAATACCTCCACATTCACCCTGACCATATGTCCATATCCGGTTACCCGACTCACCCTATCCTAACCACTCCCCACCCCTGAACCTAAATCTTGACTGGGTGCATTTTAGCTCATCGTATTCATCCAAATCGAAAGTATGATATTTTCATGTTCATATTTCATGTTTACAAAGCATTGTAACAACATGATATGGTATCCTTGAAGACATTCTCAGGTGCCCACCTAGTGCTATTAAAAGATGTAAAAAAGGATTAAAAAAAGATAAAGTCGACCCACCTACCCTATTTTTAAAAAGCATGTGATAGGAAACAGACATATATTTTTGTTTTGGCCTAATGAACATCTCCAAAGGTGCCCCTCACCTTGTATAATTATCATCTCAATGTGTGCCCCGAACCATGTATAGTTAACTTTACATGTGCCCTCCATCCCTATAGAAGTAGCATCATACCGTGTGCTCCCTGACCGAGTATATGTAACAGATCCACATGTGCTCCCAGATCATGTATGATTAACCTTTCCAAAGGTGCCCCCACCCCTCCCTGACCCAGTATATGTAACATGTCCACTTGTGCCCTCCATACCTGTACACATGGTTGAAGTAACATCTCTTCATGGCGTTCCCTGTTCCAGTATGATTAAAAACTCCAAATTTGTCTCCCTCCACCCTTAAATCTTGTATAAGTAATCCACTGATCATTGTATGAGAAACATTTCCACATTTATAACTAACGTTCATGTTTCCACAGGTAGGAGATCAGAAGTTTTCAGCTCACCGCATCATCCTGGCGGCGACCATTCCCTACTTCCACGCAATGTTCACGCACGACATGGTGGAATCCAAGCAGGATGAGATCGGCATGCAAGGCATTGATGCCAGGTGGGCAGCTCTACCATCATGCTCTGTATTCACTTTTTCAGTATCAATGTCCATCATGATCTGACAGGCTTACATAGTGAGGTGAACCCTGAGCAAACTTGGCTGCAAATATAACAGTAAAATACGATATGTGGTGGACGTTATTGTTCTCCATGTGGTATTGACAGTTTACATTCAGTTTACAATATTTCAAAATCTGATGTGCTGCATAGAAACATCAACATTTATAGGCTTATTGGCTCTAGAAAGTAGATTCTCAAATCTAGATATTAGGACTGGAGGGAGGAGAGGTGATAAGTGGGGCTTAATGACATTAATCAGTGTTGTCACACTAAGCATGAAATTCAAGTTAAAGGGAAGAACTTTAGGGTGCTCAGATAACTGACTGAGTTTGGTTTTACGCCGCTTTTAGCAATATTCCAGCAACATCACGGCGGGGGACACCAGAAATGGGCTTCACACATTGTGCCCATGTGGGGATTCGAACCAGGGTCTTCGGCATGACGAGCCAACCCTATAACCTTTAGGCTACCCAACCGCCCCTGCCCAGATAACTGCTAGATTGAAACACTTCAACCTCAGGTTACCATGGTTACACAATTGTTGTTGCTGGCAGTGCCCTGGAGTCCCTGGTGAACTACGCCTACAACGGCCGTGTTGAGATCAACCTGAACAATGTGCAGTCTCTCCTCATTGCTGCCAGTTTCCTCCACATGCAGAGTGTGAAGGAGGCATGCTGTGACTTCCTGAAGGACAGGTGAGTAGAACTGATATGCTGAGGTACTTACAGCAATCATAAGTTTGTAGTTATGTCCACTGAGTCTCCATGTGGGAATTTGGTGACAACCCACTTGAAATTGACATCCGTTTAGTGAATCTGGGCCAAGGCAAGCCCAGTCATCTTAGGCACCACTGTTAAGAGTTGTGTCTCTTGAACATACAGAATTCTATCATGTGGGTTCAAATCCCATTTTGCAATGATTATGTTTGAAGGTTTGTCAGCACCATTCTGGGGCTTCCTGTGTGGTGAATATCCAGATTCTTGAAGCATAACTATAATGACAAGGTGAAAACAGTCATTTATTTACTGAATTGAAATTCATGTTGAACTGACTGTGTAAAAATGTGTCAGATTAGACTTGTATTTGCCAAAAGTTCTGACACTGTATATGTTTGGTGATGTAGGCTTCACCCACAGAACTGCCTTGCGGTGCGAGCCTTAGCGGACCAGTACATGTGCTCCAAGCTGGTGGAGGCGGCCAACAAATACATCCAGAACAACTTCCGCCAGGTGTCCTGCACCGAGGAGTTCCTCAACCTCACCCACACCGACATGGTCGACATCATCTCCAGGGACGAACTCAATGTCACCAATGAGGAACAGGTATTACAAGTTTTGTCACCATAAAAAAATAAAATAAACGATATGTGCATAGTTGTCCTACTGAAGTATGTATCTTAGCAATACCAGGAGCTGCTGGTTGTGGTTTGAATCAGAACATGATTATTGGGTTTACTGCTCCATTACTTGTAAGCAGTGGGGGACAGTGGGGTAGCCTAGTGGTTAAAGCATTGGCTCATCACGCCGAAGACCCGGGTTCGATTCCCCACATGGGGACAATGTGTGAAGCCCATTTCTGGTGTCTCCTGCCATGACATTGCTGGAATATTGCTAAAAGCGGCATACAACTAAAACTCTGTCAGTCAGTGTAAGCAGTGGTGTGAAGTTGTTGTGTCTGCACCAGGCAAACCATTTGAGTGTAGAGACTATCAGACATGTCTCAGTTTACTGCCATCCCCATCAGGCCTAAAAAAAATGTTGTGGTTCCGATTACCCGACCGACCCTTGAATTCTGGTGCCGACGCTATTTTTTGAAGCGGAATGAATAAAATAAGCTTTCAGATACCATTGTTTTTTCCCGGGACCGACAGACATCGGTCATTCTGATTGAGAAAGTTGATATGATGGCCGCAAGCTTGATTGAATAAACAATTACACATTGATAAATGTGTTATTAGTTTGTACTTTACTTCTAAAAAAATATGTTAAAAAAAAGCCTACCTACCTACCCTAAATTTTAAAGAGGTGTAATCGGAACCACAATCATTTTTTTTATTTGGCCTCATTTAGCTGCTTCATGCTTTGGGCCATTGAGACTGTTGACTGTACAGCTACGCTAGTATCATAGTTGATGAGGGTCTTCTTTCATTGAAGTGATGGGACCCTCTTGAACAAAAGGAGAAATTTAAAACAAATACCTACAGTGAAATGCGGTTTCACTGACATGTCTGCACGTGTTGACAGGTATTTGAGTCAGCACTGAGGTGGGTGAAACACTTGATAGAGAACCGGAAGGAGTCGCTGCCGGAGTTGATGGTGAAAGTGCGGTTGCCGCTGCTGACCCCACAGTATCTGTCAGACAAGGTGGCAACTGAGGAACTGATCAAGAGCTCTCTGCAGTGCAGGTGATTAATATACTGTAAATCATGAAATTAATGTGTCGCGAATTTAATGCAAGTGCGAGGGTCTAGTCTAAAATGCGGCACAAAATTAATGTGAGCTTAGGAATCTGCTGATGATAAAATGAATTGAGCTGGTTAAGCAATGAATGGAAATGAGCTGACAGTGTTTTGATTACGCTGCCATGTTTGATCACGTGATTGCTTGCTACTACTTGTCTTATGACAACATAAACGTAATCCGACTTGATAGACACAAGTCATCTACCAAGGTACAACAAACAAGTGTCTGGAGAATGTCTGGCCTGGCTGATGTGCTTGAGTGACTTTAAACAATGACCAGTGATTGTAACCAGTGATAATTACATGTGGCTTGAGATACCTGTAATGAGGAAGTGACCTGTATTGGTGTAATGTGTAGTGTCAACAGATTGACGTTTTCTGTCTTTTATGAAGTAGACATGGTCAGACTGAAATGCGTCATTATAATAATGCGAGAAGAGTACAGATGCATTTTTCGCATTAATAAAATGCTCGCATTAATTTCATGTTTTACAGTACTGGAAAACGTTGTAACTTTGACAGCAATCGAAGACCGAGTTGGGTTATTTCTAGTAAGTTTGGGTAATTAAACTAAAAGTCCTCATTATTAGACTAAAATATTCTGAAAATGTTGTAAGAGCCATGTGCAGACTAGAAGACTTCAACATTTTTGGCACAGACTGATGATGTTACTTGTATATCAGTTTGTAAATCAGTTCTGAGATTTAGTGAAAGCAGAATTAGTCATGGTTTTCGCATGAATCTTGGACAGAACTTGAACGAGTTCTTGATCATCTATTTTTTTTTGTGGGTACTGGTTTCTGTAACAGGCAGAAGTAGTTTGTGTTAAACCAAAGTGAAATTAGTGCTTCATTCTGTGAAGCTTTAACTGATCATCTTTTGCTTGCATTTCTCAGAGATTTGTTGGATGAGGCTCGAGATTACCACCTGATGCCAGAGAGGCGGACGTTGTTACAGACTTTCAAAACACGACCAAGGTGTTGTACTGATGTACCTGGCATCATATACGCTGTGGGCGGCCTCACGTCCTCAGGTATGTCTGTGTACATCTTCTCTTCATATCATCAGGTGTTTCAGTTCATATCATTAGGTATGTTAGCTCACCTTATCAGGTACATGATCATATATCAAATCACATCAGTACAAAAGTTCACATCTTCAGGTATTTGATTTCACATCTTAAAGTACTAGAGTTACCATCTTCAGGTACTAGAGATCACATTGTAAGATTCTTCAGTTTGCATTATCAGCTCACATCGTCACAGGTTTACCAGTGCGCAGAAGGAAAACATGTTTACTGATGTTGTAGGTGACTCTCTAAGCACAGTGGAGTGTTTTGACCCGGTCGTGGGGCGCTGGAAAGTGGCGGAGGCCATGAGCACCATGAGGAGTCGAGTGGGCGTTGCAGTCCTCAACGGTGAGTCCATAACATCTAGATTTACCACTTACCTTTTCACTGCTCTAGTTACATACCTGAGCACTGACCAGTTTATACCTGTGGCTTCCTGTATTGAATAAGATACACAGACAACAAATCCATGTGAAAGAAGTACAGGGTTTAAGAATACCATCGAAATCAAGTACTAAACTCTGCCTGTTTATAGTCTACCTCACCTGGTCAACTGTTGTATCTTTGTCCAGGCTACCTGTACGCCATCGGCGGCTATAACGGCATGGACAGGCTGAACACAGTGGAGGTGTTCGAGCAGGAGAGCAAACGCTGGAAGAAAGTATCCCCTATGAACTGCAAGAGAAGGTAAGGGAGACAACTCTGTATGACCAGCTGTTGGATTCTTCCAGTTTCAACAATTTGATGTTTAATAATCAGTTTTCCTGAGAGCCTTCAGAACATGTATTAAACATTATGTGAACCTCAGTAAAACTACATTCAGATGCAGTGGCAAAAATCGATAGCAAATTGAGCAACACACACTGTTTGGTTGCCTGAAGATTATACTGAGCTTCTGTTTTTCCCCTTACTTAGTGCTTTGGGAGCTGCAGCACTGAATGGCAAGCTGTTTGTCTGTGGAGGGTATGATGGAGTCTCTTCTCTCAAGTCCGTGGAGTGCTTTGATCCCAAGTCAAACATGTAAGTGGTCCTCACATGATGCCATGTCACTGAGTGAGTGAATGAGTAAGTTGGGTCTCAGCAGTATTCCTGCAATATCAGTTGAATAACACCAGAAATGGGTTCAACATATTGTACCCATTGTATTTATTAATCTGTGGTGAATTACTTAAAGGTCACATGCAACGTAAAACACAACTTTGCAGATTCTGATACCTTTCGGTATGGACTTACCAAAACAAATCGTCAAAAATGCAAATTCAACTTATAAAGTTGAAAAATAACGCCATGGAAAAAAACACGCGAAATCGGAGTTCAAACGTTTCACTAATTTTCCCCCAACTTTTCTGGGGAAAACGGGTTTCAACAGCTGGGCTGCGCTCATAGCACGTGGGCAGTGAAATAGGTTCGTGCAGCTTGGAAGCGGGTTGTCCGGTGAATACTCGGTGAAGGCTTTGGTGTGAGCTATTTTTCTAATGTTTTGTTGATATCTCACAGGCGCAAGCTTTTTATATGTTATGACAGTAAATTAACTGTTTATATAATTTCATTTGTCTATTTCACCACACGTTCTTCTTACCGAGTCACTTTCTCAGTTCGATACTTAAAAGCAATGCCATTATTTAGCGTTGACAGAATTTCTAACTGTGATATAGATATGTCGTTGTCACAGACAAAACTCAATGTCTTGTTTTATTGACACCTGTGTGTCAGCCTGCCTGTCTGCTAATGACAATATTCAATACACAGCTGCTATCACTGACCACATGCAATTTGAACTTAACACCAATCAGGCTATACACCATAAACAAAATGCATTGATTTATGGCCCGAGTTCGGTCTCTGTCACATTATGTAATTACACAGACAGGCAGGTGTGATACTTGTACACATGACATGTTATGATGTCTGTTGATTCCAAAATGTTATACACAAAAAATGAGCATGTATTTACAAAACCCAACATCTCTATACATGTATATACACACACAATGAACCGTGAGGGCATCTGCAAATGAACCAGCCGTTACACTTGAGTGCACACCCACCCGCTCTGACTGGGTAAACCAAAGTACACAATATTGCACTTTTGATTTGCGATTGTACGCTTATAATTTTGTTTATATGTTTTTTCATAACCAGCAATGTATATTATATGTCATGAATAAGTGATAATTGTGTTTAAATCATGTTTGATTTTTTGGTTGCATGTGACCTTTAAGTTCTTTGCCAATGGGACAGTGTTTGTGTAAATGTTTGAGTGAATGGAGTTATTTCCCTTTCATAGGTGGACGGTGATGACAAGTATGCAGAAATACGAAGTGCCGCTGGTGTTGCTGTATTGCATGGTGACATCTACGCTTGTGGTGGCCATGATGGATTGTCAATATTTGATTCTGTAAGTTCAGTTCAGGTTGACCCAACTATTCTGGATTCTCTGTCCATACTATATGAGGCCTGGTATCCTGGGAAAAATCAAAGTCATGGTCACTTGTTATATGAACTCGATCTCTTACCGATGTTAGTCACGATATGGCTGAAATAGCTTTACTATTGCTGACAGTGTTGTTAGAAAGGAAGATATTATATAGTGATAACTATACTGTAAATTTCAACTACACAGCATTAACACTGTTGATTGCTTGGTTGTAGGTGGAATGTTACAACACAACGACTGGGCAGTGGCGAACTATAGCCAACATGAACTCCAAACGCTGTCGTCTGGGTGTGGCAGCTCTCAATGGTAAACTGTATGCCGTGGGAGGCTACGATGGTGCAATGTTTCTCAAGACTGTTGAGCGCTACGACCCAGGCACCAATACATGGGAATATGTTCTGAATATGAAGATGAAGAGAAGTCGAGTTGCCATAGCAGCAACGTATGGGAAGTTATATGCAATAGGAGGCTATGATGGTCAGGCCAACTTGAACTCAGTGGAGATGTATGATCCGGAGTCCAACACATGGACGTTTGTTGCCTCCATGAGTGCCCACGAGGGAGGAGTGGGGGTGGGCGTGGTCCCCATGGAGGAAGCCACAGTGTGATGGGGAGTGCGTCTTGACTGTGGATGTGAATCTCAAAAACACTGTTACAGAACTGCTGCTGGTTTGCTTCTCTGTAGCTCATTCTGATATCTGCTGAGCGATGTTGCTTGAAGGATGGTGAGTGATGTTGCTTGAAGGATGTTGAGTGGTGCTGCTTGAAGGATGCCGAGCGATGTTGCTTGAAGGATGGTGAGTGATGTTGCTTGAAGGATGTTGAGTGATGTTGCTTGAAGGATGTTGCTTGAAGGATGTTGAGTGATGTTGCTTGAAGGATGTTGAGTGATGTTGCTTGAAGGATGCCGGGCGATGTTGCTTGAGGGATGGTGAGTAATGTTGATTCAGGCTGTTTGATAGTCCTGCATAGAATGTTGTGTTGCTTGGAATGTCTTAGAAACAGGTTGCTATGTGTTTCTGATTGCAAATGAGTAATTCACTCCCAAAAATGAACTAAAACACGTTTTCTTCGTTGTTAGCCCCCCGACAGATTTTACCTTGAGCTCCAGATTGATCTGAATTCTGAAGGGTTATCACCAGTACCTGTGGAACTGACAGCCCATTGTCTCAGATGTATACATTGCATGGGGGTCCATGTTGCTTCTTAGGTCATGTAGTCTCCATGGATCAAGGACAGGTGCCGCCTGACAATCTGAAGAGCTACCTCTCTCCTTGTACATGTTGTGGGGCGGTGGGGTAGCCTAGTGGTTAAAGCGTTGGCTCGTCACGCCGAAGACCCGGGTTCGAATCCCCACATTGGTACAATGTGTGAAGCCCATTTCTGGTGTCCCCCGCCGTGATGTTCCTGGAATATTGCTAAAAGCGGCGTAAAACCTAACTCAGTCAGTCAGTTGTACATGTTGTAGGCCTAAGTCATTGTAGATAGTCATTTTCTGTGCTGTTTTACGGCAGCCTAATTATCCCTTACATATTTGTACTATGACAGGATGTGCAGGTATACATGCTCACTTTATTGTGTCTGGAAATGGCAGGACTGTAAAAACATTTGTAATGTATGGTTGTTTGTCAACACTGTGATTGCTTTCTGTGATAGTGTGCCAACGTGTCAATATTTTTCTGTATAGGTTAGGGGAACAGTTATATATAGGGTGTTATACACTTTGTACTTCTGTGTTATATAAGGTATACAGCATGTCGATCTTTTCTCTGTACAGGGTAGGGGAACAGTTATATATAGGGTGTTATACACTCTGTACTTCTGTGTTATATAAGGTATACAGCATGTCGATCTTTGCTCTGTACAGGGTAGGGGAACAGTTATATATAGGGTGTTATAAACTCCGTACTTCTATGTTATATAAGGTATACAGCATGTCGATCTTTTCTCTGTACAGCGTAGGGGAACAGGTAGATACAGGGTGTAACACACTGAGTATTCCTGTGTTATATACAGTATACAGCATGTGATTCCTTTCTCTGTACAGGGTAGGGGAACAGGTAGATACAGGGTGTTACACACTCCATGCTTCTGTGTTATATACAGTATATCGCATGTGATTCCTTTCTCTGTACAGGGTAGGGGAACAGGTAGATACAAGGAGTTACACACTCCATGCTTCTGTGTTATATACAGTATAGAGCATGTGATTCGTCTCTCTGTACAGGGTAGGGAACAGGTAGATACAAGGTGTAACACACTCCATGCTTCTGTGTTATATACAGTATAGAACATGTCATTCCTTTCTCTGTACAGGGTAGGGGAACAGGTAGATACAAGGTGTTATACACTCCATGCTTCTGTGCTATATACAGTGTTAAGCATGTGATTCCTTTCTCTGTACAGGGTAGGGGAACAGGTAGCTACAAGGTGTTACACACTCCACGCTTCTGTGCTATATACAGTATACAGCATGTGATTCCTTTCTCTGTACAGGGTAGGGGAACAGGTAGATACAAGGTGTTATACACTCCATGCTTCTGTATTATATACAGTATTCAGCATGTGATTCCTTTCTCTGTACAGGGTAGGGGAACAGGTAGATACAAGGTGTTATATGCTCCATGCTTCTATGTTATGTACAGTATACAGCATCTGATTCCTTTCTCTGTACAGGGTAGGGGAACAGGTAGATACAAGGAGTTACATACTCCATGCTTCTGTGTTATATACAGTATACAGCATGTGATTCCTTTCTCTGTACAGGGTAGGGGATTAGGTAGATACAAGGTGTTACACACTCCATGCTTCTGTGTTATATACAGTATACAGCATGTGATTCCTTTCTCTGTATAGGGTTCGGGAACAGGTAGATACCGCGTGTTATACACTCCATGCTTCTGTGTTATATACAGTATAGAGCATGTGATTCCTTTCTCTGTACAGGGTAGGGGAACAGGTAGATACAAGGTGTTATACGCTCCATGCTTCTGTGTTATGTACAGTATAAAGCATGTGATTCTTTTCTCTGTACAGGGTAGGGGAACAGGTAGATACAGGGTGTTACACACTCCATGCTTCTGTGTTATATACAGTATACAGCATGTGATTCCTTTCTCTGTATAGGGTTGGGGAACAGGTAGATACAAGGTGTTATACACTCCATGCTTCTGTATTATATACAGTATTCAGCATGTGATTCCTTTCTCTGTACAGGGTAGGGGAACAGGTAGATACAAGGTGTTACACGTTCCATGCTTCTATGTTATGTACAGTATACAGCATGTGATTCCTTTCTCTGTACAGGGTAGGGGAACAGGTAGATACAAGGTGTTACACACTCCATGCTTCTGTGTTATATACAGTATACAGCATGTGATTCATAGAGCATGTGATTTTCTCTGTACAGGGTAGGGGAACAGGTAGATACAGGTGTTACACACTCCATGCTTCTGTGTTATATACAGTATAGAGCATCTGATTCCTTTCTCTGTACAGGGTAGGGGAAGAGGTTGATACAAGGTGTTACATACTCCATGCTTCTGTGCTATATACAGTATACAGCATGTGATTCCTTTCTCTGTATAGGGTTGGGGAACAGGTAGATACCGGGTGTTATACACTCCATGCTTCTGTGTTATATACAGTATAGAGCATGTGATTCCTTTCTCTGTACAGGGTAGGGGAGCAGGTAGATACAAGGTGTTACACACTTCATGCTTCTGTGTTATATACAGTATACAGCATGTGATTCCTTTCTCTGTACAGGGTAGGGGAACAGGAAGATACAAGGTGTTACACACTCCATGCTTCTGTGTTATATACAGTATAGAAAATGTGATTCCTTTCTCTGTACAGGGTAGGGGAACAGGTAGATACAAGGTGTTATACACTCCATGCTTCTGTGCTATATACAGTGTTAAGCATGTGATTCCTTTCTCTGTACAGGGTAGGGGAAGAGGTTGGTACAAGGTGTTACATACTCCATGCTTCTGTGTTATATACAGTATACAACATGTGATTCCTTTCTCTGTACAGGGTAGGGGAAGAGGTAGATACAAGGTATACACACTCCATGCTTCTGTGTTATATACAGTATAGAGCATGTGATTCCTTTCTCTGTACAGGGTATGGGAACAGGTAGATACAGGGTGTTACACACTCCATGCTTCTGTGTTATATACAGGAAAGAGCATGTGATTCCTTTCTCTGTACAGGGTTGGGGAACAGGTAGTTACAACGTGTTATACACTCTATGCTTCTGTGTTATATACAGTATAGAGCATGTGATTCCTTTCTCTGTACAGGGTAGGGGAACAGGTAGATACAGGGTGTTACACTCTCCATGTTTCTGTGCTATATACAGTATACACCCTGTGATTCCTTCCTCTTAATAGGGTTGGGGAACAGGTAGATACAAGGTGTTACACAGTCCATGCTTCTGTGTTATATACAGTATACAGCATGTGATTCCTTTCTCAGTACAGGGTAGGGGAACAGGTAGATACAGGGTGTTACACACTCCATGCTTCTGTGTTATGTACAGTATAGAACATGTGATTCCTTTCTCTGTACAGGGTAGGGGAACAGGTAGATACAAGGTGTTATACACTCCATGCTTCTGTGCTATATACAGTGTTAAGCATGTGATTCCTTTCTCTGTACAGGGTAGGGGAAGAGGTTGATACAAGGTGTCACATACTCCATGCTTCTGTGTTATATACAGTATACAGCATGTGATTCCTTTCTCTGTATAGGGTTGGGGAACAGGTAGATACAAGGTGTTATACACTCCATGCTTCTGTATTATATACAGTATTCAGCATGTGATTCCTTTCTCTGTACAGGGTAGGGGAACAGGTAGATACAAGGTGTTACACGCTCCATGCTTCTATGTTATGTACAGTATACAGCATGTGATTCCTTTCTCTGTACAGGGTAGGGGAACAGGTAGATACAAGGAGTTACATACTCCATGCTTCTGTGTTATATACAGTATACAGCATGTGATTCCTTTCTCTGTACAGGGTAGGGGAACAGGTAGATACCGGGTGTTACACACTCCATGCTTCAGTGTTATATACAGTATAGAGCATCTGATTCCTTTCTCTGTACAGGGTAGGGAAAGAGGTTGATACAAGGTGTTACATACTCCATGCTTCTGTGCTATATACAGTATACAGCATGTGATTCCTTTCTCTGTATAGGGTTGGGGAACAGGTAGATACAAGGTGTTATACACTCCATGCTTCTGTATTATATACAGTATTCAGCATGTGATTCCTTTCTCTGTACAGGGTAGGGGAACAGGTAGATACAAGGTGTTACACGCTCCATGCTTCAGTGTTATGTACAGTATACAGCATGTGATTCCTTTCTCTGTACAGGGTAGGGGAACAGGTAGATACAAGGAGTTACATACTCCATGCTTCTGTGTTATATACAGTATACAGCATGTGATTCCTTTCTCTGTACAGGGTAGGGAACAGGTAGATACCGGGTGTTACACACTCCATGCTTCAGTGTTATATACAGTATAGAGCATCTGATTCCTTTCTCTGTACAGGGTAGGGAAAGAGGTTGATACAAGGTGTTACATACTCCATGCTTCTGTGCTATATACAGTATACAGCATGTGATTCCTTTCTCTGTATAGGGTTGGGGAACAGGTAGATACCGGGTGTTATACACTCCATGCTTCTGTGTTATATACAGTATAAAGCATGTGATTCCTTTCTCTGTACAGGGTAGGGGAACAGGTAGATACCGGGTGTTACACACTCCATGCTTCTGTGTTTTATACAGTATAGAGCATGTGATTCCTTTCTCTGTACAGGGTAGGGGGACAGGAAGATACAAGGTGTTACACACTCCATGCTTCTGTGTTATGTACAGTATAGAACATGTGATTCCTTTCTCTGTACAGGGTAGGGGAACAGGTAGATACAAGGTGTTATACACTCCATGCTTCTGTGTTATATACGGTATAGAGCATGTGATTCGTCCCTCTGTGCAGGGTAGGGGAACAGGCAGATACAGGGTGTTACACACTCCATGCTTCTGTGTTATATACAGTATATCGCATGTGATTCCTTTCTCTGTACAGGGTAGGGGAACAGGTAGATACAAGGTGTTACACACTCCATGCTTCTGTGTTATGTACAGTATAGAACATGTGATTCCTTTCTCTGTACAGGGTAGGGGAACAGGTAGATACAAGGTGTTATATGCTCCATGCTTCTGTGCTATATACAGTGTTTAGCATGTGATTCCTTTCTCTGTACAGGGTAGGGGAAGAGGTTGATACAAGGTGTTACATACTCCATGCTTCTGTGTTATATACAGTATACAGCATGTGATTCCTTTCTCTGTATAGGGTTGGGGAACAGGTAGATACAAGGTGTTATACACTCCATGCTTCTGTATTATATACAGTATTCAGCATGTGATTCCTTTCTCTGTACAGGGTATGGGAACAGGTAGATACAAGGTGTTATACGCTCCATGCTTCAGTGTTATGTACAGTATACAGCATGTGATTCCTTTCTCTGTACAGGGTAGGAGAACAGGTAGATACAAGGAGTTACATACTCCATGCTTCTGTGTTATATACAGTATACAGCATGTGATTCCTTTCTCTGTACAGGGTAGGGGAACAGGTAGATACAAGGTGTTACACACTCCATGCTTCTGTGTTATATACAGTATACAGCATGTGATTCCTTTCTCTGTACAGGGTAGGGGAACAGGTAGATACCGGGTGTTACACACTCCATGCTTCTGTGTTATATACAGTATAGAGCATCTGATTCCTTTCTCTGTACAGGGTAGGGGAAGAGATTGATACAAGGTGTTACATACTCCATGCTTCTGTGCTATATGCAGTATACAGCATGTGATTCCTTTCTCTGTATAGGGTTGGGGAACAGGTAGATACCGGGTGTTATACACTCCATGCTTCTGTGTTATATACAGTATAGAGCATGTGATTCCTTTCTCTGTACAGGGTAGGGGAGCAGGTAGATACAAGGTGTTACACACTTCATGCTTCTGTGTTATATACAGTATACAGCATGTGATTCCTTTCTCTGTACAGGGTAGGGGAACAGGAAGATACAAGGTGTTACACACTCCATGCTTCTGTGTTATATACAGTATAGAACATGTGATTCCTTTCTCTGTACAGGGTAGGGGAACAGGTAGATACAAGGTGTTATACACTCCATGCTTCTGTGCTATATACAGTGTTAAGCATGTGATTCCTTTCTCTGTACAGGGTAGGGGAAGAGGTTGGTACAAGGTGTTACATACTCCATGCTTCTGTGTTATATACAGTATACAACATGTGATTCCTTTCTCTGTACAGGGTAGGGGAAGAGGTAGATACAAGGTATACACACTCCATGCTTCTGTGTTATATACAGTATAGAGCATGTGATTCCTTTCTCTGTACAGGGTATGGGAACAGGTAGATACAGGGTGTTACACACTCCATGCTTCTGTGTTATATACAGTATAGAGCATGTGATTCCTTTCTCTGTACAGGGTTGGGGAACAGGTAGTTACAACGTGTTATACACTCTATGCTTCTGTGTTATATACAGTATAGAGCATGTGATTCCTTTCTCTGTACAGGGTAGGGGAACAGGTAGATACAGGGTGTTACACTCTCCATGTTTCTGTGCTATATACAGTATACACCCTGTGATTCCTTCCTCTTAATAGGGTTGGGGAACAGGTAGATACAAGGTGTTACACAGTCCATGCTTCTGTGTTATATACAGTATGTCGCATGTGAATCGTTTCTCTGTACAGAGTAGGAGAACAGGTATATATAGTAGCCGTGTTCCGATATATTGAAATAGTGAAAGATTGGTCGCAGTGACCAAACGACCAAGCAATCAATCACCTTTTTCTCATAATCGAACACAAACTATTTTGTATACAACATGTGATTCCTTTCTCTGTACAGGGTAGGGGAACAGGTAGATACAAGGTGTTATACACTCCATGCTTCTGTGTTATATACAGTATACAACATGTGATTCCTTTCTCTGTACAGAGTAGGGGAACAGGTAGATACAGGGTGTAACACTTTTCTTTGTTATATACAGCAGTTGATGTAACTTTAAGGGATTTTGAGGAAAACCGTCATGACATGTTGGTACATTTTCCTGCTGAAACTTGGGATATTTTTATTCTTGGACTTAATGACTTGTGCTGTAAGTCTGGTGCTGTAAGTCCAGTGCTAGTCCCCATCAATGTGTAGTCAACATTAATGTGTAATTGTCTAAGTCATGATGTACTAGGGTAGCCAGGTTGTTAGAGGTTTGTCAAAATCAGCTGATTTGGGTTTGAATCCCAGTTTTTGCCTATAGTTCTTTGGTTGCACTATGTATGTGCAAATAAAGTTAGCATCTTTGACGTGCATCATATTAAGCATGTACGCTGTGATATAGCTGGAATACTGTTCAATCTTGCCTTCTTGCACCCTTACTCAAATAGTCATTATAATGAGGACATCACTTCCAGTCTTGTACCCAACTCTGTATAGTCATTAATGCACTACTCTTTTAGGCCAGACTACTTTTATTTCTTGTTTTATGGATTTTTGTCCTCAGAAAACCTAAAGGCAGGAGGGAAAAAAATAAAAAATAAAAATCACCAGTCAAAGTAATATTCCTTTTAAATACTAAAAGTATTATATTTTTTGCAATTTATGAAGTGTAAATAGGGCAAAGACAATCAAAAAGTTTTGTTTTTGTAATTTACATTTTTGGCCAATAAAAACATGAGGATTTTATTTTTTGAGCGAGGAAAATGAATTTTCATGTTTTTTCTTATTTTGAAAAAAAAACCGACCGGCGGATCTGTAAAACAAGAAATAAAATTGGACTGGCCTTATGTACAAAGATTCTTGTCACCATCATGACAGTTAAACATTTCCCCAATTTTGTCCAGAAAGTGCTTTTGTTATGAAGTCACCACATCAAATGAGCTTAATAACCAAGAAAAATTGTGAAAGAGTGCCCCTGGTTGTGCCCTCAAGATTGGTTGCCTTGTAGTGTTATCTTGTGTGAACCTAACACTGAGGAGACCTCATTGTGTTGCATGCAGTAAAATGATGGATAGACTTCAAAGCAGGTCTGCAGATTGTCACACACAGCCAGCCATAAATTATGAATGGTCCCCAGGTAAGGAACTTGAAGATCGTTCTGGTCCATAACAAAGCCAGTATTGTCAGGTGATTATATATTATGATGCAGTTGTGTGTACATTGTGTCAGGGCTGTTCCGCATCAGCTCGTGCATGATCAGTTAGTACGTGTTCTGTAATAAGAGGCTGGGATGAACTGGCTGAGTGTTATAATGTGAGGAATTTCAACCCCTCACGTCTTGGTCCCCTCAAATCATGTTGAGTCATCAGGTCAGACTGCACTTGACATCCACACACAAATAGGATTATAAGATGAGATATTTTTTTATGGTGAAAGAATATAGAGAGTAAAAGAGGCCCAGTAACATTTGATGTTGATCAGTAAATCAATAACCGTTGAAGTAGTTGACTGTTTAAAGTTTCTGTAATAAAGAAATCATAAGATGCTGTTGATGAAAAGGGAGGTAAGTTCTACTTCTGCAATCAACAGATCTGAGTGATTTCTCAGACAAAACATCCATATTCATAAGCGACATACAACCATATACACTCACTCACTCGCTTAGCGGCTATTTGAAAGTCCTGTCTGTACCATCTTGCTTTCAGACAATTGTGGCAGAGACTGTTAGGCAAGATCTGTTCCTGAAAGAGAATCACTTACTTGAATATTTGTCTTAAAATATAAAATATATGTTACACAAATGGCGCTCAGAACAATGCCTAATTTCAGCTGAGGCCATTAACACTGGAGTCCTTTGTCAATTTATTCCCTGGGATCAGGGAGACGGAATTGAGAGATTGGTAATTAGGGAAGAGGCCCAGATGATGGGTTTAGACTTTGGTCCGGTGAGCAAAATAAGGGGTTGTTGCAATTGGAATAATCCTTAACATACAATAATAATTATAATCCTCTGTGTTTTCAGTGTCGGTAGGTTAGAAGAAAATGTTGAATCATGTCAAACACGATTAGTAGATGCGTTGTGCTGACCATATAGCCAATGCACTGCTGTAGTTTCAAGAAGAGGCAGGAACTTGGTCATCTTGTAGGCTGCACTTCATGGGTACCAAGCTAATAATAGTGCTTTGTTACCAAGGTATTATTTGTACATAGATTATTATAAAATGTTACAAGAAAGTAATTAAAAAAATATGATTTCATTCAAGTGGGAATTAAAGTGGGTTTGAAAAGTTTGTTATATGAATCACTGTGATTTCTGTGGATGAAGGTGGTGGTATGTTTGTTGATTATACTATGTATTTTTATCATTTGTCCTCTCCCGAACTCTAGTATTTTGTTTTTATTTCCCTTTAAACCAAAACAATTCCTGCCCTCTACAAATGTTTATAATTGCATGTAATACTGACGATGCTTGTGATACAATGTTTTCGCCTTTGATCAAATAAGTTTGCAACTGTGATGGAAGTTGACCTATCTGTAGCCGTAATTTCATGTTGCATGATGAGAGAACATGAACACTGTGCCTGGCTCGGAGGTAATGGAGTCAGTATGTATGGACTAGTCTTTCATTGTGAACCACTGTTCTGATTCACCTTAAATGTGCTTGATGTTTTTGTGTCATACCTATTTATTTGTGCTTGTACATATGTAAATATAATACTGTCCACTCAACTGCCTCTCTTGTTGTTGATAAACTGCAGTGATGACAGTCGGTGATGCTGACATGTTAGGCCACAGATCAGGCTGCTGTTGTTTCAGACAACCTTGACCTTAACTAATATTCATTAATGCTTGTGCTTCAACTCCTGGTTGGGGCAGTGGGGTAGCCTAGTGGTCAAGGTGTTTTTCTCATGACGCTGAAGACCCGGGTTCGATTCCCCACATGGGCACAATATGTGATGCCTATTTCTGGTGTCCCTCGCTGTCATATTGCTGAAATTTGCTAAAAGTGGTGTAAAACTAAACTAACTCACTCACTCATTCAACTCCTGGTTACGTTATGTTCCAAACCCATGTGGTTTCACTGTGGTAAACTTCTAATGCTTTCAACACATATCAAGGTGAAATTCTGTCAACTTGAGTACTATTTGAATTTGTCACAAACTCCTACTCATTCCTAAAACTCTGGGGGCGGTGTGGTGGCCCAGTGGTTAAAGCATTCGCTAGTCATGCTGAAGGCCTGGGTTCGATTACCTATATGGGTACAATGTACTTAAAAAATCTGCTTCAAATGGCAATACTCCTTAACCCAGCTGTGTCATACAGACCAGTTAAACAGAAGGAATAAACTACTCATTTAAGTTGCAAAAAAACACCTGCATTTTTCATTTGAGTACAATTACCATTTCATGTGAGTAGAATATACTGTACAACAAGGTAGATGGACAGATCCCGGTTAACACACATGGATCAGAGCTGTGTCCCTGAGGTATGTTTGCGATCCTATGGCCTGGCCTGGAATCTCTTACTTCCTCTTATTATAAGAGCATTGGTTTGACCAGTTTAACCTAGATAAACACCCATCGTACTAACATTCAGTATACAATATTGTTAGGAAAACAATTTATGACACTGAAATATCTTATTTGGAATTTCACTGAATGATTAATGCTGCAAGCAGTTTATGGATTGTTTTTGTAGCTGTCAAGCACTGTTTGCACAGTACTTGTTTACTTGTAATAACACTGCAATGTAGCTGAAGAACAACATCCACTTACTCATTCTAATTTCCACTAATGTTGGGTCACCAGTAGAATCTCCATCTGAAGCATCACAGTTTGCTGTGCAGAGTGCTGTCCCTTAGGCATGGCAGGATTCTATGGTCGTGGGTTTGAATCTCTGACTTCCTCTGATTATTATCCCCCACCACTAGTGGGAGGGGGATATTGGTTTGAGGTCTGTCCATCCGAGATGATGGGGCAGATTTTCTCAGAAACCGTAATAGATAGGGACACGAATGCCTGATGGAGTTTGAAAATGGAAACCGGTTACTATTTGTTACCGAGTTATGGCATTTGTCATGCGTTTCATGACTTAGTGCATGGTATCCCCAGTAGGCATTGAAACAGCCATGTAGGCCTTGATACAGCCAAGTGGGCCTTGATACAGCTAAGTAGGCCTTGAGAGAGACAAGTAGGCCTTGATTCAGACAAGCGGGCCTTAATGCAGCCATGTAGGCATTGATGCAGCCAAGAAGGTCGTGATACAGCCATGTAGGCCTTGATACAGCCATGTAGGCCTTGATACAGCCATGTGGGCTTTGATACAGCCATGTAGGCCTTGATATATACATGTAGGCCCTCATACAGACAAGTAGGCCTTCATACAGCCACATAGGCATTCATACAGACAAGTCCTTGATACAGACAAGTTGGCCTTGATATATACATGTAGGCCTTCATACAGACATGTTGGCCTTGATACAGCCAAGTAGGCGTTGATACAGCCAAGTGGGCCTTGATACAGCCATGTGGGCCTTGGTACAGCCATGAAGGCCTTGATACAGAAAAGTAGGCATTTATACAGCCATGTAGGCCTTGATACAGACAAGTAGGCCTTCATAAAGCCACATAGGCCTTCATACAGACAAGTTGTCCTTGATACAACCATGTAGGCCTTGATACAGCCAGGAAGGTAGTGATACAGCCATGTAGGCCTTGATACAGCCACGTAGGCCTTCATACAACCAAGCAGGCCTTGATACAGAATAATAGGCCTTGATACAGCCAAGGTGGCCTTGATACAGCAAGGTTGGCCTAGATACAGCCATGTAGGCCTTGATACAGCCAAGCAGGTCTTGATACAGGATAGTTTGCCTTGATACACCCATGTAGGCCTTGATACACCAATATAGGCCCTCATACAGACAAGTCGGCCTTCATACAGCCACATATGCATTCATACAGACAAGTTGGCCTTGATATATACATGTAGGCATTCATACAGACATGTTGGCCTTGATACAGCCATGTAGGCCTTGATACAGCCATGTGGGCCTTGATACAGCCATGTAGGCCTTGGTACAGCCATGAAGGCCTTGATACAGCCAAGTAGGCCTTGATACAGCCATGTAGGCATTGATACAGCCATGTAGGCCTTGATACAGAAAAGTAGGCATTAAACCGCCATGTAGGCCTTGATACAGGCAAGTAGGCCTTCATATAGCCACAAAGGCCTTCATACAGACAAGTTGTCCTTGATACAACCATGTAGGCCTTGATACAGCCAGGAAGGTAGTGATACAGCCATGTAGGCCTTGATACAGCCACGTAGGCCTTCATACAACCAAGCAGGCCTTGATACAGCATAATAGGCCTTGATACAGCCAAGGTGGCCTTGATACAGCCAAGTTGGCCTAGATACAGCCATGTAGGCCTTGATACAGCCAAGCAGGCCTTGATACAGGATAGTTTGCCTTGATACACCAATGTAGGCCTTGATACACCCATGTAGGCCTTGATACAGCCATGTAGGCCTTGATACAGCCATGTAGGCCTTGATACAGCCTTGTAGGCCTTGATACACCCATGTAGGCCTTGATACACCCATGCAGGCCCTGATACATCCACGTAGGCCTTGATACAGTATAGTAGGCCTTAGCACTGTAAGCCTTGATACAGCCATGTAAGCCTTGATACAGCCATATAAGCATTGATACAGCCATGTAAGCCTTGATACAGTCAAGTAGGTTCAGACCAGGGTACAACTCAATTAACCATGGAGAAAGTTTTCAAGTCTACTTCAGTATTTTTCATAGTTTGAAATCAGACATCTAGGAAATTGTCCTCTTGAATACAATGTGCATGTGGTATTTTTATAGTCACATTAGTAGAAATTCACCTGTGCCCCATGTCAATAAGAAGCATAATTCCTGTCTCATAAACAACGGCGAGATACAGTAGCTGTACACCCATTTTGCTAATTTTCGGTAAAGAAGTAACCCTTGGAAAACAATTACAACGCTGAAATATTAAAAAAGAAAATCTTTTAATATCTAATATGTCACATTTATTGCACAAGAGATTTCAAAATGAGTGGTTTAAAATAACTGTTTGAAACATATTTATTTTTCAAAGATAATGACCACTGACATTTTATCCTGTCAGAGAATCAGGATTATCCTGTCCCGTTTCCCACCAGTATAAAACCCCATGCCATTCGTCTCACAGAACCGCGTACGGGCCTGCCATTGTGTGGACTAGACTAGGCTAGGCTTGCACTGAGTTGACCTTTACGTGAAGCATAGACTGCACTGAACCTCGTTTCAAATACCAGCGTTTTTAGTATGTTGTCACAGTTCCATCTTAAACATTATTATATTTGTCATACTAATTTATTTCATGAAATAACAAACAATATTAACACAATACAGTCGACTGTGAACGTTTCTATTTATAACAACCAATCGCAAGAATGGATTGTACATCCGTGCTTCACAGTTCAACAGGGAAGGGGAACCAGTCTAGACTGGTGTGATTCACATGGTATTCACGTTTTGATGCTCATTACTCCGAGATATACATGGTTAATGCGATAGTGTTATCAGAGTGAAACTGACAACATATGAATGAAAGCGAAGCAAGTAGAGGACGGTTATATTGGCTTGTGATCACATGGATTATAAAGGTAACGCTAAGACCATGCGGGGTCTCCTAGTAGCGTGTCTGTGCTGTTGCGCTGTCTCACACAGCACACGTCTGCCCGTATTAAACGGAACTTTTACATCCGACAATAATGGCTCTACGGGTGCTGTGGAAGATGGACATAACCATGGTAACAGGACAGTAACAATTTCCAGGCGGAATAAGGGATTACATTTTTCGTCATTATTGATGTCACTGTATTCGGAGTCCGAGATATTGAAAGTGAACGACTTCCTACGCATGTTGAGAGATGTTGGTGTGCCGTTCGGCGACAATCATCGACATCAGTCTAATCATCATGATCAACAGCGGAGACCAGAACCTAGTGCAGGCAACATGCGACGCCGTGAGAGAGATGTCACAAAGACGAAACAGTTACCACGTGGATCTAAAGCGACACATACTACGGGGAACAGGGACGGCAAGGACCACATGGTAATACACCTCTGCATTTGTGTGTATTCCATACAGTAGTTCACTGTTTTATCTATAGATACAGGTACATCACGAAATTTAAACTATGTCTCGTTTGGTGTCGGGGGCCGGGGGTACCCTAATGGTTAAAGCGTTGGCTCGTCACGCCGAAGACACGGGTTCGAATCCCCACATGGGTACAATGTGTGAAGCCCATTTCTGGTGTCCCCCGCCGTGATGTTTCTGGAATATTGCTAAAAGCGGCGTAACACCAAACTCAGTCAGTCGTTTGGTGTCTCATATCCTAACAATTTTTTTGTTCCAAACTCACGGTTTTTTGTTTGGAAATAAACCAAAGTGTGTCTACAAGTATCATGTTACATAATTCAGCATATTTCAACTTAACTCTGCCAATTTATGGCGTTGTTAAAATATTATTTTACAAATATGTTTTGATTTGCTGACAACACGTGTTTTTGTTTTAAAATTACATACACGTATCAAGACACATAATGTGATTTAGATAATTTTAAATTAAATTCAGGTAATTCATATCGGTATTAGAGCATTCCTTCTCGGTACAGCTGACACTTAAACGCCGCATTTAGCAATATTCTGGCACTATCACGGCGGGGGACACCAGAAATGGGCTTCACACATTGTACCGATGTGGGGAATCGAACCCGGGCCTTCGGCGTGACGAGCGAACGCTTTAACCAATAAGCTACCCCACCGCCCCCTAACACTTAAAGCTCGTATGCACGGTGGCCATTTTCTAAGCTTAACTCTAAAGTTGATTACTATACGTTGTTTCCTCAAATTGCATTGGATTTATTCGTAAAAGGATTTATCTGATCCATACCCTACCTCAAAACTAACGCGAAGAGGTACCTAAAGCTAAGGATAGTAAAGGGATGTTTGAGTAGCAAGTGGTGCCCAACGCTAAAGATCGCGAAGGGATGTTGGATCGGAAAGGAATACAGATGATAAGGAGAAACCTTGATGTAACTGACCCTAACTCTAACCAGCACGCGAGATCTGTGAAGCGAGAGCCGGCGTCTCAGCCAATTAGAGCCACAGTTAGCTGCGCCCGGTAAACTGCACTCTTGCACCAGTCTCGATTTTTTCAAATATCTAGCGCGAAGTTCCCGAGTCAGTTGTGCAGCTGTCGTTCGCTAAGGGCCAGTACGTCGACCTTTCTGCAGCACAATAGCCGTTAACAGTGAGCTTACTCGACTTTTTCCGCCTTTGTCCGCGAGAGAAGTTTCTGGATTAGTGGCTGCGCCGCGGGTGCCGGACAGTATAGTTTTACACATTTAAGTGGCTTCTTAGGACTTTGAGACAACCCGTACTTCGAAAAATACGCAAATTGAGTTGTTTTTTTTCGATTTAAGGATCTTATCTAATTGAAACCTAGAAATTTGTAGGAATTCGTAGCTTCGTCAAAGGAGGAAAGCAGATAACATACGGGGGACCAAAACCGGATTTTTTACGAAGAAAAATGTATGCTATGTAAGTTATGTGTGATCTCGTCACACATAAAACGCATGGAGTTCGACATGAGTAGGCGATTGGGTATTAAATGTAACTTCGACATTAGGAAAGATATAGTGACAAGTGTAATTGAGAACTATATACACATAAGCTCCACCTAAATCCATGGGCGATTTTTAAAATGTCCAAACATTTCTTATTGGAAATGCACGTGTAAAATACGCAGCCGACATGTTCGCGCCAAACACATTGGGCTTTACGTTTCATGATTGCAGTATGAAGACTTCAGTTTTCTGACGTGATTTTAAAGACGACACTACTAAAAATAACCTTTCTTAACGAGACGTGTACAAAACGAGACATACATGACCCAGGGATACATTGTTGCAACACAGGCTCTGACGTGAACATTAACCACATCGTTATTGGTCGATTTGTGAGGGCAATGTGGTCCAAACAGGCAATCATACACTAGCGTACAGGAATTGACATGTAAAGTACATGTTTCACACAAATTGTCACACGTACGAAAGCCCAGAGGGGTCAAAATGATTTTTGAATCTTCTGTTTTAAAATTAGTAATAACCACTTTTTTTTCTGGTTATTACCACATTTTTCTGGTAAATACCACGTTTGATACTGGTAATTATTACTTTTGAAAATAATAATTACCACTTTGTTCTGGTTATTACCACATTTAAAACTGGTAAATACCACTTTTGAAACAAGTAAATTATAACTTTTAAATTGTACTTATTCTTATTCATATTCATTTTATGAGTTTTAAAATAATATTTTAATATCACGATTGAACTTTCATTTTACATACTGAATATTATGTAATTGTTTTTCCATTTTATAATAACGCCATGTATTGATTGTTGCATTTTAGTTTGCATATAACTTCTATAGATATATTTTTATCATTTCAGAATACCTAGATTTACATGTAACATTTTCAGCTTCGGTATTAAAGAAAATCCAGAGCTTACAGGTTTTTTTTCATGACAAGAATGTCGTATCCAAATCTAGAGTTTATTTTGTGCATTTTCATTTCGTGATTGACTGATGATTATACTTCAACTTAATCGAATATATAGAGAATCTCACCAGAGTGCCTTTGATATCAAATATATCACCACGAGTTGATAAAGTTACAAATATCCGAGGCATGTCGAGGATAGTTTTACTTTTATAAACGAGTGTTGATATACGTGTATTTGATATCAGAAGATACGAGGGTGAGATTCTAAGTATCATAAAAAATCACTCTTCATTAGTTTTCAATAATAAAGTGTACATCTCTGAACATAGTTCTGCCATTAAACTTTCACAGTAGCGATGTCATAGCATTGTGATATCTTCAGGTTTTTGACGTCATTGCATTATTAGTCATGCATTGACGTTAGTGGATTGTATGAAATCTATTGTCAAAACGATATCTCCTAGCAGACATCGTTTGATCTCACACAGGCAATATCTCCGGTGGAACACAGTTTTGGATAATAACTAATGTTGTTACCCGCCCGTGGAAGAAACTGCAGTGTAATAGTTTACGGCAGTAAAACGCATAAAATTAATATGAATAAGAATAAGTACAATTTAAAAGTTCTAATTTACTTGTTGCAAAAGTGATATTTACCAGAAAAAAGTGGTAATTACCAGTTTCAAATGTGGTAATTACCTGGAAAAGTGGTAATTACTAGTTTCAAAAGTGGTAATTACCAGTTTCAAAAGTGGTATTTACCAGAAAAAAGTGGTAATTACCAGAAAAAGGTGGATATTACCAATTTTTAAACAGAAAATTCAAAAAACCATTTCGTATAGTTCAGTGTACATTTTACTTCTTCTCATTATCAGGACATTCTCCCTCTAACCATAGATCTTGCACTTGAGATAACTTTCATTTTATGTATATGTATGAACTTCGATATTTTTCATTTTTATGTATATGTATGTGACGCCCTCATAGGCCATATCGGCCGGACGCTGTACATAATATTTGTGTATTTTTATTGTCATTTTTTACAGTGTGTGATACGAAAAAAAAGATAAGTTTCTTTCTTCTTTTTCTCTGTACATTAAAAAGACGTTGACATTCATAATATACTGAACAGCAAAAAAACCCCGTAAGTTTCGAAAAAATGAAATATCATGAAGGTAAGTATTCATGTTTATGGAACGTTCATGGTAAAGTGACGTAATGATCCCAGATGAGATGATGCCATGCAATTTCACGTCCATACGAACCATTCGCACAAACACACCAACAGTGCTACAAAAACCATAAATTTAGCACGTGCATAGACGGTTCTGGATGGAAAGCATGCATTTCACCCTGAGTTATCCATTGTAAAGGTTGGTATGAAAAAACAGTTCAGGATTGACGATAGGAGGTGTACACGCCACACAAACGATGCCTTGACTAACGACTGAGCAGAGGGGAACAGTCATTTGAAAGTTGCACAGAGGTAGCTCTGCAAACGCTGTAGCTAAACAATTGGGATGTCATCTTACCGCCATTACACAACTTGCTCAACGTCATCAGCAAACCGCCTCTCAAGAACCTCAATATGAAAATAATAAAAAATAAATTTTGCCATTAAGTGGTTACAACTGTGGCAATGTCATCAGGATGTTTACAATCGGATCTTCATTTTAAATGTATGCGCATAGGTGACAGAGTGAGCAGTAGTGATGGAAATGACATTTTAAGAAACTGAAATGTCTTAAAAAGTATCATTTTGGGCTTGTAAATAGGTAGAAAGGACGTGGTAGTGAGACATGTGTTTGAAACAAAGGTAAATAACAGGAGCAATAGTTTGTATCAAGACACAGAATCGGAAGTTGAATGCCAAAGTTCAACATTTGCTTGAAAAGAAGTTGAACAAATAACACGAATTAACGCTTAAAGAGGTTCATCTTCGTGCATAACAACTTCTGGTTTCCATGTTCAGTGCTACAGCGTGAAATATCCTTGATCTCGGTTGATGGTGGGCTTATGACGTTTGATGTGAGTTTGGCTTTTTGGCTTTGGTGAGGTTGCGTGTGCTAAAGTCAGTTTGCTAGATCAGATTAGGTAATTTGTTGCTTGGGGTTTAATTTGATAATATCAGAGATGGTTGATTTGATGTCGGAATTAGTCAAGAAAATAAGATGTTCTTTCGCCGAGGCGTTGTTGGGTGCAATATTTCGCCTATGTAGCTCTGTCCACAACCGCAGTCAATTTCGTAAACAGCACATTTCGGATTGTTGTTGGTGATGTTGTTGTAATTAGTGGTGCCGTTGACGGTTGATGACTTTCGTGTGTTGGTATGGAAATAAAGCTAAATACCCGAGCGTAAATGTCATGTTGTATTTACAAGAGTGACTGAAAATGTAAATACAATCTGACATCTATACGCAAATGTGTTAATTTCTTTATCACCCCCCTACTATTCAGAGCGCTTTAATAACAAATAACAGCATTTTACCGGCAGTTCCAATGTTGAAGACCCGTAAAGATCCGGGTCAGAATATTGATCTTC